CACACTTTCCCAAAGGGTTCGAATACACCCTTTGGATGCAGGTTGTGTAAATAGTGTCTAAATACGGTATCGTGTTACTTCTTGGACTTGCACCCGTAGATCTGGTTATCGCCTTGCAATGTTTTGATAGTTATTCTTGGAAAATTTTGCTGCTCCTTCCTTAACACATCTTGGCAACAGCGTCGTTCCTTTTTTTTTTTCGATTTTAATGTCTAATAAGAATATTGAAATATTTATAGAGAGAACATGGAGTTTCACGCTCGATGGCCTATTTAGAATTCTGAAGGACTGTTTTCAATATTCTCGTATATACAATTGTTATGTTACTCTTACGTCTTTCACTCCTCGCTTTCTTTTTTTCATTTTCCTTCGCTGGTATAACCGTCATGTCTGGCGGAAGTCGAATGAAAGGAACGTTCCTGTTGGAAACGTCTTAGCTTTGGATGCTGGAAGAGATATACACACATACACCTTTGATGTTGTGCCAAATTAAATATCCTTGAAAATTGAATCGGCTCAAACGCAGGTATACAAAGGACTCTCGACAAACATAACTGAACGACGACAATGTAATAATTCAACCAAATAATATTGTGTATTCAAAAATCACATTTAATTTTCTTTAACATCCTTACTGTAGCAATTGTATAATGAATACAATAACTGCGGCGATTATCCTTTACAAAAATACAATAGTTTTTATTTAATCCCTTGATCTTCGGGAATCCACTTTATCCTCAGTGTCTTTATTAGGTTTTGCTCGACGCTACGGGTAAAAAGTGTAAGGAAATTCTTAATCAACCCACGATTCGTTTTTGTTGTGTTCGGTCTCTCGGGGATTAGGATTAATCAGAACCCCTGGAGAGCACGGATTCGTGAGAGAGAAGGCTGAGAAAATCGCATCGATATTTTATGATTAGAAAATGATTTTCAATCAAGTTAATTTGCAAAACTAATTAATATAAATAACGCCGAAGGTATCATAAATTCATACACTACAATAGAAGTCTTAGACGATCTTGAAAACGCCATGATGCATCACTAAGGTACTTTTTCCGATAAACTGGCTTGTCGTATACGAGCTTGCGTGAGTAAAAATTGAGTACCATTAAATAAACAGCTACAAAAGTTATCAATTTACATATAATATAACATTATAGGTATAGTACTCTTAATATCAACTGTGCAGATGATATTTTCCACAAGATCAAGAAATATTCAATAGCAATACGTTCGTTGGAATGCAAGGTGTTAACCATTTCAACCAGTTCTTTCCATAAAATTAGCTACAGGTACCTTATTCATAGACGTCGCAGGACAAGTTAGTAAAGGTATGTAAATTTTTCCGTTGTCATTGTAAGAAAGCTGCATAGTTGAGCGTTGTCTTGTGGAAAACAATCGACGTTTTCTCCGGCGAGTATGTTGTACCAACATGTCGTTAAGACAACGCTAACGTATGTTTTACAAGTACATGCCATAGACATGAGGATTGGCAAGTGAGAGTGAGGAATAACGAGGTTGACACAGCAGAAATTGAAATAAAAATCTGCCGAGTGTTTCACTTAATGATACGGATGAAAGTAAAGGTGATGGTGGAAAATCGTGTTGCAGAAAACAGTTTCTATATTCCAAAGTTTTCTGTTAAAAGCTTGATCTATCGGGTTGTTCGGAAAGTCATTTCGTTTTTTCCCGACAGAGGATTTAATTGTATTCTTTTGCACCCAACTTCACATTTAAGCCGTATAATTTTTATATGCTTTGAGAGCTCATATAGCAAGGCTTGTGTGTGAAAAATTCCAATTAATTCTACGTAGTAGTTTTTGGTTGGTGCCCTTTTAAATATGGAGAGCGATAAGCAGCATTTTCGACATATCTTACTGTTTTACTACAGAAAGGGTAAAAATGCTGTTCAAGCCAGAAAGAAATTGACTGATGTGTATGGAGAAGGTGTGTTGACAGTACGCCAGTGCCAGAACTGGTTCGCTAAATTTCGATCCGGCACTTTTGATGTCGAAGATGCACCACGTTTGGGAAGGCCGGTTGAAGCTGATAAAGACGCGATAAAGGCATTAGTTAATGTGAACCGGCGAATAACAACACGTGAGATCGGATTGAGGTTAAATTTATCAAATTCAACAGTTTATGACCACTTGAAAGGCCTGGGATTATCCTCGAAGCTCGATGTATGGGTTCCCCATGTTCTCACAGAGAGAAATCTGTGTCGCCGCATTGACGTCTGCGATTCGCTTCTCAAACGTCACGAAAATGATCCGTTTTTGAAGCGCATCATCACTGGGGACGAAAAATGGGTTGTATACAACAACGTCAAACGCAAGAGGTCATGGAGCAAAAAAGATGAACCGGCTCAAACCATTTCCAAAGCCGATATTCACCAAAAAAAGGTGATGCTGTCTGTGTGGTGGGATTTTAAAGGAATCGTTTTTTTTGAGCTTTTACCGGATAACACAACGATTAATTCGGAAGACTACTGTCATCAGCTGGACAAACTGAATGATGCACTTCAACAGAAAAGGTTAGAACTAATCAACAGGAAAGGTGTAGTGTTTCACCAAGACAACGCGAGACCTCACACAAGTTTGGTCACTCGCCAAAAGCTTTTACAGCTTGAATGGGATACAATGCTACACCCACCATATTCTCCAGACCTGGCACCATCGAATTATTATAAGTTGTTCCGGTCACTCGAAAATTTTTTAGACGGTAAAACCTTCACCTCAAATGAGGAGGTCAAAAACCTCCTCGATCAGTTTTTTGCCAGCAAAGACCAAAAATTTTATGAGGGTGGAATTATGCTACTACCAGAAAGATGGCAAAAGGTGTTGGACCAGAACGGTCAATATATAATTTAATAAAGTATTTCTTTATTATACGAAAACTGTCTTTCATTTCCAGAAAAAAAAAACGAAATGACTTTCCGAACAACCCTATAGCTTTGGACTATTTGTAGAAATCATTCGGTAACAAGGTTGACACAGCAATTTTTAAGAACGTGCGCCTAAACAATGAAAGAAAATGTAGCAGGAATTTCACCAGAAAATAAGCGTGTAGATACGAATAAAAGTTGGTGGTACTGGTGAAAAAAAGTTCTAAATATTACGGTCAAAAGCTTCATCTATTATTCGACTATTTGTAGAAATCTAAAAACGCGGTTTCAGGTGATGTAAAGAAATATGTAAACATATAACACACACCAGTAGCGTTTACACTCGGACCTTGTAACTTAGTCATAAATCCTACGTAGATGGTGTAAAGCGCTGGCCCATTTAATGAAACATTCTCCTGTTAATTAACCGGACATGTTCGACAAAATGGGAGCCAGGTCATATATGTAGCTTGTAATTCCATAACTTGCCATTACACCTCGCGTCTCTCGCGGCCTCAACGAACCTAAATATCACATATGTACATGTATGGGACTCAGCGATCTAGCCGTTACGGGAAAGGATTCAGAGATATACACACAAGGATAAATATTTTATAATAGAATTAATTGACTTTAATGTGTGCAAGTAAAGTTTAAATTAGAAGGACCTTCATTTTATGGTAGCTTAATGTAGCAAGACTTATAGGGGTGTAATATCCGAAAAGAATTAGAATAAGCTTGTGTATTTTACTAACATTGATAGATAAATAATCGATAACATTCTTGAATGAGCTCCTGGGCCCGTGCTCTACAGTATCCAACTTTCTTGCTGTTCTCCTGTATATTATATATCTTATTCTCATATTATTCATTATATATCATTCATATTATCTTCGATCTATCCGTGTTCATATTTTGGCATCTTTTTGCGTATTTTATTATTTTACTAACATATTTATTTTTTCTTTTTTTCTTAACCTGCTTCAGGCAGGTGCTTTTCAAAATTCTTAAATTAAATTTTGATGTTTATATTATTATTTATAAAGTTACTTAAAAGACATTTCCGTTTATGCGTCCTGTACCATAACCGGCACCAATCTAATCAAGCTCTTGTTGAGTTTGCATCGAGTGTAATTTTCACCAGCAAGGTGTACAACGAACACGTTCACTTTGTATTATGTAGGTAGGTATCGGATGACGTGTAGAATTTATTGAAGCGACTAGGACATCGGTGGAGCCTTTTTACATACGTTTCAAATTATGGATAACCAGACACCTAAGAACCGATCAGATATATACGTTGATACTAAGTTGCTAAACGACTATTAAGTTACATAACTTATCGTCTACATACACGCATAGACAAGTGCCCGGTGTAACGGATGAAACTGATCGGGATACAGAATCTAGAAATACATTAAATGTCTCCACTGAATTACCGAGTGATTACAGCAAGTAGTCATTTAGTTACAACAGCATGGGATTGAAATTCTTGCGTAACTTACTTCTGTCTTATCTACAATCTTTTGCTTGCTGCAGACATATTTTTAACCGTTTAACTACGTGTATAAGTACAATGACGGTTTTAAATTGCTTAAATAAAAATTTTTTGGACCAAATGGCATCTCGGTAGTGTCGAAAAAGTGCCAAAGTACATAGATTTTGTATTTGTCCATTAAAGTATCTAACTACACAAATAAATGATATTTCTCATTTTTGAAACGTCGGCATGGTGAGTGTCGAACTTCATCAACGTCTCGTTATTTTTATTTTGACACCTTCAACCTTATCCCTATTAATTTTATTTATCTGCTTTTCATTCAGCCTGTTATCTATTAATTCATGCTAACATTTAAAGGTCAGTGTTGCGTCTATTTCAATCGCACATAAATGTGAATAGAAGAGCATATTACGTCAGTTATCCTGCGCTATTCCTGTTTCAGCATCCTGCCAGGACAAGAATGGATGTTGGAATCGGTGAAAAGGTAGAGGACAAAATATCAATGAGATATAGAGGTGGAATTGAGAGTGGGAAAACACGAAGGCTCATTGGTTGAACCGTTTGGAAATGTGTAGATGCTCCGAGCTTAATTTCAGTAGCCTCAGTATCATTACTTCTTGTGCCGATGAAAGTTAGCGGTAGCCGAGGACTTGCTGACATGATTCTCATACAAGAACAAAGTCCGTGAAAACTTTAGAAACTTTTGACATTTAAGTAGGAACTTGCTATAAATGTGACGAGTGTGCGTGACACAACTGAGATTTTATTTAGAATACCTGTAAGTTTCATGTGTGGATGCTGACGTGCGATTTTCCGGAAAATTAGGAACAGGATACTCAAAGGTTTGTAAATTATTCCAATATTTTTTCTGCTAGAAAACGAAAAACCAAAACAATAACTATTAAATATTCAAGCATCAATGCTTGTTCTTTTGGAGTTTCTAATAATTGTAATAAATATAATTTTAAATGTGCATCGAGCTTTTCGTCCTTGTAGGACCAGTAAATTAGAAAAAAAGAAAACGTTTCAAAAAAGATGCTATCTGACATTTCTTTGCTGATTAATTATTTATGAAGCTAAAATAAATTTAAGAGAGAGGTATTGAGTTTTATAAGTAAAGATTCAAATTAGCTCAGTCCTTTATAACATTAGCAATTTCCTACTAAAGTGATATTCAGAAAAAAGGATTACCAACTTGTTTTGTGGGAACATAAAAAGAAAAGAAACTGGCTAATACATTACATCCTCCTGTAAGAAATATAATTGTGTTTGGTAAAAATTTTAAAGCTAAAACATTCATGACCCTTAAATAGACTGATTTGTCAACAACTGCAGAAGAAAATTGCTTTTAATGCCATCTCCATAACAGACTAATTCTGACGATGCTACAAAAATTTGATTGTTTGTTCGTTTGGTTGTCAGGACAGAGTTAACCCTTAGAATTGCACGTTGAAAATCCAAAGTCTTTAGGCGAATGTCGACAATATAATTCTAGAATCTACAGACGTGGAGTAGTAATAAAAAAATATAAGAATGAGGAGGACAAGAGAGGCCTCGGCGTATTTTATTAGAATGAGAACATATTGTTCCTGTAAAATCATAAGGAATTCAGTCGGAAGACTGGTTCAACACGTACCTCCACTTGTTTCTATCTTGACCCAATTATTACATATTCTCGATTTTTAACTGTTTGCTTCAAGCCTCTACCTCTCTCTTACCTCCTATTTCTGCTTCCAATATGTCTCCTACTATGTGTTCTACCAACTTATCTCTCCTATTTCTTTTTAATTTTAATAATACCCTCCATTCTGTTCTTTGTAACACCTTCTTATTTCTAACCTTTTCTATCCATGGTATCCTCATCATTCAAGCGCCCAACGTCCACGTTTCGCACCCACACAGAGCCGTGCTCCAAACATAAACCTTTAAGAAAGTGTTTCTGAATTTCCAAATTAACCTATCATCTTCAACAAAAGTATTTTTTTTTGTTAAAAGCGACCCGATCCTGGACTATCCTTCGCTTTATATCCCTTGCGCCTTTTCCATCCTGAAAAGTTACATTAAAGCAACTAAATTTTCGCTAGGACGGAACAGCGGCTTACAAATAAGAAGCATTCAAACTACAATTGCATGGGGATGAACCGAAATTCTGGATCATCAAATTTTCCTGGCTCTACAGGAAAAAGAAAATGTGTTTTCAGCGTTAAATGTAGTGGAAAACTAAAATGTCAGACGATTCAAGTAACTTATGCTCATTTTTCGATCGGGGGAGGGACAGGTTTGAGGTAAGGGTGGCGAGCAAGAGTTTCTCGAGTTGGATTGTGAAAAGAACTGGCCCAAGAAAGTTGCAGCACCACCATTTAAATAATTAGTAGCTGGGCCGCCACCATCTAGCTGTTGTAGATGTAGAAGCTTCATGAATATCTAATGCGGTCTATGCTATAGTTTTGTTATGTAACAAGCACAGGTTTTAGCGAATTCAAAGAGGCTCATGAATAATTTATTTTATCGGATTACCGAACAACCAAAGATTTTCTGCCTGTACATCACAGACGACTTAGAATATTGTTATTTAATGATGATAGCGGTATTGGTAAAATGTTCCTGCATATTTACTCATTTTAGTCTATAGATATCGTATAATTTTTAATGCTATACATATACATAATTCTGGTTAATTTAAAAGGATTCTTAAAAGCGCGTGTCTTTGTATGGGTGCAAAACGTGGATGGTGGTAGAAAAAGAAAAGGTTAAAAGCGTTCGAAATGTGCTGTTACTGGCGAACGATGAGGATACTGTGGATAGAGAAGGTTAGAAATAAAAACGCATTAGAAAGAGTAGGAGAACACGAAAATCAGTCAGAAATAGGCGAGACAGGTTGGTAGGACACCTTCTCAGGCATGAAAGGCTAAATAGAGACTTAATAGAAGCATAAACAGGAGCTATGAGGAGTAGAGATAGACGTGTATTACTGTTCAGAAATAGTTAAGAATGTGGGATGTTCTAGTTTTGAGGAAATACAATGAGTAGCTCAGGATAGGAAGGAGTAGAGGTGCGTGTCCAACAATTTTTAGGACTGAGGACCTTATAACAATGATAATTTGTTAATATAATTATCTCTACCGTCTTCTATCTACTAGAGCCACAGAAGACCTTTGTTATCTAATTTATTCCGAAAATGTGGACGTATTTTTTTCCTTCATAAGATAAGTAAGTAATATTTACATTATAGGAAGTATTTCTTTGGAAATCACTTCGTTACATAGTGTTTACGGTGTATTTAATATGGTGTGAGTATAATTTTTAGTATGCTACATGTAGCTTTCAATTTTCAAGAAAGAAACAAGAAACCCATTCTGTAGGTTATTCTAGAGAACTGGTGCTTCAGTTGGAGACGGATTATCCCGAAAAATTGCGCACCATTACCGTAAAAATAAACAGAACTGACTTCACTAAAGCGTTTCCGTAATAAAGACCCATTGTACTTATTCTCTCACTCGTTTGCGACCACTCTTTGTCGAGTAAACGAATTTCATTGTTGTATGTTTCCACAAAGACTCGGGGCTTTTATCTATTCAGTAGAGACGTATTACTTGGTACTAAGTAACCCACCCAACAACGGTATAAACTTGTGTCTGGGGGTCCTTTCTGAAGGACCGTCTTCTGCAAAGTGGTTAAACATGGAGTCTGCTATATATATATGTCGTGTTTCCTATGCACAACAACGGCCCGTCATTATTCCGTCTCCTTTATTTTTATTCTCTTCCTCTCTCGAAGTTACGAATCTGGTGTGTATCTTGGCCAACGTAAACATCCTCAATGTACCCTTAATATAAATACGCTTGACAGTTTTACTGGGGAAGCACCGCAGCACTTTGCACAAGAAAAATGTCTTCCCATCTCTGCTCCAAATGATACGAGATAAGAGACGAATGGCACCACGTTCGGGGTAAATAGACCTTAACGATCACACAACGTACCGGTTTAATGGACAATTATTACGTACCCGTGACGGTACATTTGTCAAACTTTTCTAAAAGTAACATCTGGTCACAAACAACTGTCAAATAATAGAACTTTATAATAAAGAAAAATGTTTTACCAATGAAATGGCGCATAAGCACATACATGTTAATAACAAATGGACCGGATATTCGACTTGGGGTTCTAAAAGAAATGCCGGATCCGTCGCCGGATACCGGATCCAAGTCGGGCATTCGGTACAGCTAATGCCGGGTACACGGTTATCCGATACCTAGCAAAATCAGTATATATCTGGTACATTCCTAATATTAATATTAAGTATTCATAATTGCTGTTTTAACATAAGATAAAATTTTAAATACTGATTAAATCTTTCCTCAGTATATTTTCTATTAACTGGTAAACAGTAGGATTGAAATCTATCAACATAACCGTAAATTTAAAGGATTCAAACAGTAATTCTTCACCATATATTTTACTTATATACATGATTATAGCTTATGCGCCATTTTTGCTAATAAAGGGTTGTTATGCGATAGACAAGTAAGATATTTATTTTATAAAGATATTGATTTCTAACAATAGTTTTTGTAGAAATTAAAGGTGCGTTTTAATTATAACGTGAACCATCTGTGACTTTCCGTCATGTGGACGCTGAAATGGCTAAATAGTTTCCTATAAATGAATTAAAAACACCCTTTGGGGACAAATTTTCTTTTCATGTAAGTAGGTATAATATAGATTGCGTAAAAATAGTTCCACGAAGTCGTTGATATTGTTGTGCTTAGGTAAAACTGTCAAGTATGATGGACTGGCTTTTAACGATTTCGTGATATCATTAATTAATTAAGTAATTATCTAATGGTTATGTCAAATAACTTATTATATACCCATTAAAATGCATAATTTATATTAAAATTCCAAATAAACAAGTAGGTGTAAAGACAGATATGAAGAAATTTGTCTTTTTTATCAGAACGGAAGGAACTTATCTGGTGCATATATATGTATATATTGTACATCCTTGCTCCATCTATTAAAATTTTCATGAAACTTGATATATATTAGCAATGTAAATATGTACCTACAATATATATTAATTGATGGACTTCTAATTTCGGAGTTGATTAATTAAATTTAAAAGAAGCAAACCCTTTAGGGTGGCTCGTGAAAGGATCCTGATAAAAAGTTTGTTTTTCGAAAGCTACTTTACAATTAACTACGAAGCTACCCCGTAATTCCCCTTTTTTTTTACAAAAGCACTTTTTAGAAAGCTTCCCGTTTGCCGAAAGGGTTTTTCACATAAAGAAACAAAGAAAAAGAACGATCATCCACGTCTAATTAACTCGAACCCTATGTAGTACCCACAAAAAAAAAACCACCATATAGCTTTGGCAGGGAGAAGTGGGTAAAACGGCCTCCAGATGGACGACACACGGGACGTTGGGGGTGCGGTATCCCCTTATATTTTGGCGTTTTTGTCCATTCGTCACACACGAATAGGAAAAAGTACATTTCCGAAATGGAATTCCAATGTCGCGAAAGCATTTTTCTCAGGTTTGACATGGCGGGCACGTGCCTATCTAAAATTAAAACGTTCGACAAGGCGCCTCGGAAGGCCCTCCGGGCCGTGGAAGTCGCTTGTTATTATTCTGAAAGGATACGCTTTTATTGTATTCTCATGTGCGAAAAAGGGCGGAATTGAGTCTGACGGTGAATTCTAACACTTTTACACAAATCGAGTTCAATTTTCGACGACTTTTATTCAAAAACTTCCAGTTCAAAACGTATATATACGTAAAACAAATTACATATTTTTAATACTTATGTATATTTGGACTGATGCTCGAGGTAATGGAGACAAATAAACAGTATTAAGTAATTAATTAATTAAACTAATGCAACCTTTCGTCAAATTTATTCACACCTGGAGTGCTCCAAATGTTTATCAAAAGTTAAACTAAAACATATCCATACTGAAGTGAATATTACAAAGTACTTATTTAATTTATTAAAATGATAATTTCGTCACACAGTGTCTTTAATATAACGTTTTGCGATGAGAATTTTGTTTTTCAAATGCATCACCTCACACGGTATTCAGTGTCAATTCTGTTAAGTGTTACTTTCATTCAATGGTATCGTTAGACAGACGTATCATGGGTATTTAGTTTAATCACATTTGCATTCGATATAATCATCTAATGCAACATAACCCAATGGTTGGACGAACTTTGAACAAACGTAATGCAACTATTCAATGCAATGTGACCGTATAGAATTTACTGAAACGAATATAAAACGAACACGAGACAATAAAGGCTAATATACAACTATTAATCACCATTATCTTTTAATGGGCCACACACTGGCGTAGTTCAAGTGAATTATTTAAATGTGCGGACACATGTTTTACTGTACGTTAACACAGATTACCAAATAGCAAATTGCATTTCTCATCGCTGTACAATCCTGATCCCGGCAGAATTCCCTATATTTATCAGGTTCGTTTGGGTTTATGTAACACAGTTTTATAGGTTACGAATTTTTTTTTCGGGGACAAGTCTATAAATGTCACGCCATTCAGATGGTCTGAAAGAAATATATATTTTGGCTCTAATAGTAATTGAAAGCCTAAAAATATCGAAAACAAGACAGTTTCAGATAAATACTGAGCTACAAGATTATTTTTAACTAAAACTAAAAAACTTTTCGGTTACTGTTAAGGTAACAGTCTTTGAATTGATAAAATTAGAAGATATAGGCAAGATATGGCCATCTAGTGATATTTTTGACAAAGGTCATTGTATATTTAAATAAAATAAATATCGTCAGTAGACAGTGATATACTGTCAACCCCCTGATATTATATCAATTGCGGTCGTTTTTACGGAACATCCTAGGTTCGGCCGTTGATTTACCGGAACGGTTTGTAACGTGCTGATGGTAACTAATGAGTTCTAAGTTGCAATTCCTGTCTGACAGTTTACGAACCAAGAACTAATGATCAGTACTTTTTGAATTATTCTTAATCCATGCTTAACTTCCACTGCCTTGGAAGGGTTTTGATTTAATTAGCTCCAAACATTGAATGTTATTTAATAATTTTATTTGGTCTGACTGTTTAATATCGTCTACCAAATAAAAATGTGAAATCACACAAATAGATAATATCACTTGTATACTTCTTTATCTTGAAATGAAAAAAAAAAAACTTTTGGGTGTTCCATTTCCACCAGCCACTAATACGAGTGGGCGGGGAGTCCCTCCGAACTACGCCAGAAGGGAGGGCTACGGGCCCTATTCAGCTTCCTTTCAGGAATCGTGGGAATGGGTGGGTGGTGGTTCAGGTGAGACAGATGAGACGGACGAAATGAAGGCAGAAGAGAATTAAAGATTGTCTGGAATATTACTACCCCAATGCCTAAATGATCCAAGGAAACAACAGAAAAACTTAGACCAAGGCAGACGGACCCGGAACTGAATCAGCGTCCTCCCGAATGCTAAGCAATGGTCTTAACATGCCGCTTTTGAAATGAAAGAACCAAATCCTTATAGAATCCTTGACCGTAGGATATATTCCCTTTAACCTAAGGAGCATATTCAATAATTTTCATAACAAAACTTATTGGTAGCTCAATTAGGTAAATGTTTTCTTGGAAATTATCAAAGTTTTCACTTCCTTAATACAGCTCGACTGCAAATCTTCCTTGAAAGAAACAAACTGATGGGTTGATCCAGTTTCCAAGATAGATACATTAAGTAAAAAAACAGATTCAAAAATAGCAGTTAAACGTATCAAATCATGCCAGAGATTACGCGGTATTAAACAGACGTGTCGAACATGTGGCCAAACAATATAACGCCGCGTTACGGTCATCGACATCGGCTTCCAGCGCATTAAAACGTTTAACCGCTAAATATAGCGTTAAATTTCACATTAGTTAATTATACTCGATCCTCTATCCTCGTCTATCGCATCCGACGTAAGGAAACATTTTACGGATATTATCGTTATCTCTAACGTCTATTCTTTCGTACGTTTCAGGTTCCCCAAATGGACGCTCCGCTGCTGTTCCCTCGCATCGTTCCGATTAGTTTCTTCCTCCTACTTCTCCACGTCTCACAATCGAACTGCCTCGATATATGTAAGTACTTTATTTAAGTGAGCGAACACGATAGAGAAAAGTAGTTATAAATGTAGTATCTAAAAACTTCGTATATTATGTCTGCATGATGCGTATTAGAGGTATACTCGGAAGAGATAATGACGGTCGTGTGGTATAAAGAAGATAATAAAGGAATTCAGTGACCGTTGATGGTTGTCTGAATTATAAATGAAACGAACCAAGTGAATGGCACCATTATCTAACAACACACACACGGTCCTGCAAAAAAAGTAATCATTGTTTTCTAAGTAATGTTTCTGGTTCTTTTGTTGAAGCACTCGATCTTTATTAAGTCGTAGAACCCAAGAAAATAGCCATTGTCTTCCAATGAGCCCAAAATTATTTTTATTTTACAACTGGAAGTGAGTGCTATAGGACTTCGAACTCGAAATATTAAGATTATAACGAGTTACAATGCCTTTCCCAATTGGGTTTCCTTAACTAATCATTCTCCTTGTTACAGCTCAATGCATCGCACCTTTAGGAATGGAAAGTGGAGACATTAAAGATGAAGATATAACAGCCAGTTCGTCTTTTGACAGTGGAAACGTGGGTCCAAGACAAGGAAGGTGGGTTTCTATAAACAAACCATCCAGGATATAACGATATCATAAGCTCGTATGTTGTTACAGATTAAAAGTGGAGACAAACGGCGGGGCGTGGTGTCCCCAAACCCCCGCGACTGCGGAACCCGAAGAATGGCTTCAAATAGATCTCCACACCGTTCATTTGGTTACTAGCGTCGGGACGCAGGGTCGTTTCGGTAATGGTCAGGGCGTCGAATATTCCGAAGCGTACATTCTCGAGTATTGGCGTCCGCGTCTCAACAAGTGGATTCGCTACCGCAATTATCGCGGAGAAGAAATATTGAATGGCAACATAAACACTTATCTCGAATCTAAGACCGAATTGGACCCACCCATATGGGCCACTAAGATTCGATTCTTGCCGTACAGTTACCACAAAAGAACGGTTTGTTTGCGCGTCGAAATATACGGTTGTCGCTGGACCGACGGCATCGTGAGTTACTCGATGCCGCAAGGAGATAAGAGAGGTCCTAATTGGGAATTCTACGACAGTTCTTACGACGGCTTCTGGGACGACGGAAGACTGAAGCACGGCCTGGGGCAGTTGACGGACGGCAAAACGGGTAGCAACGATTTCAAAGTGTCCTTCTACGAACACTCGAAGGGGTGGGTCGGGTGGCGAAATGACACACGGAACGGGAAACCCATAGATGTTGTGTTCGAATTCGACGAAGTGCGCGAGTTCACCAACGTGAACATTTTCTGTAACAACCAGTTCACGAAAGAGGTGCAGGTGTTCGCGAAAGCCGAGGTGTTCTTCAGTATCGGCGGGAAACGTTCCAGAGGTCAGCCGATCACGTACGAATACATGGAAGACCGTATCTTCGAAAAGTCGCGCAACGTTTCCATCAAACTCCACCATCGAATCGGAAAATACGTGAAGATTCAGTTACACTTCGCGGCCCGATGGATTCTCCTGAGTGAAATTTCTTTCGACTCCGAAGTGATCAAAGGGAACTTTACAGAAGAAGAAGATGAGCAAGAAATATCCGCCAGTACCAATGTCAAAAGTCAAGGAGCTTCGTCCTCATCCGGATCTGGATCTGAATCTCCTCCTAATAAAAGTTCACCATCTCCTCAAGAATTCGGGCAGTATATGGGTGTCATTGCAGGTATCCTGTCAGTTTTGACGTTACTTGTGGGGACCCTAGTGGGTTACATAATTTTACAACAGAGGCGTCGCAAAGCGGCTGGAAGACAGGAAACGTACGTTCCATCCAACTGCGAAAAGGCCGCCCTGTACAGCGAACCGATTGTCCTCGGGCAAAACAGTACAAACACTCAGTATATGGACTCATCCACGAGACGATCAGAATATGCAGTGCCTCGTTTAAAAACGCGGCCTGATCCTCCATCCTTACAGGACATTTTCCCCAAACCCCCATCGTTTCCGCCGGCTCAAGAACATTATTACGCATCGACCGAAATTTGTAACGCTCGATTCACCCCGCCTTCACCACCACTGTCTACGCCGCCACTGATTCGGCTAAGCAGACAGCCGAGATACGTGTCCAACTCGAACCACTACGTGGGGCCCTAAACAAACGACATTCACTGTGATATTAGATGTAATAAAGACTGACTTATTAATGTGTACCAATTTAGATACCATACGCATTGCGTGTGTCTATGGGATTACCCAATGAAATAGAAGAACAATGAAAAAATGAATCGAATGAGCAAGACTGGCGGTTACCTAAAGTATTAAATTGTACGTAGACTATCGTTTATTAATATATAGAGTATCGACAATCTGCATCATAACGTGATATTGTACTATAAAAAAAAATAATAAAAACGCAGTTTTGTAAATAGTTATTATTATATTACTACTACTTTCAATGTGAGGTATTTATTAATAAAATAAAGCAATCGTAATTATACTTAGTATCCTTATTTTATTTTATAAATAATTTTGGACCGATTATTCGATAAAATTTGAAAGTAAAAAAAGGTAAAAATTAAATCACAAAATATTCATTCAGATCAAGAATTACAAATAGTTGTAAAAATTTTATGATTTATATTAACCTTTGAGTTTTTCCAAATATGAAATCTTATTATTAAAATTTAATAAACAATTAAAAACTAGTAAAATTTTTTGAATAGCACATACGTAGTTAAAACAGTCATCAAAATCATGTCATCAGTCCTTAGACTGGTTGGACACGCACCTCCACTCCTTTCTATCCTAAGCTAATCTTCGCATTTCCC